CACTGAGTCCGTCAGTTATCTCTCCCCTGGTGCATCTTCTTCTTCCTCCTCCTCTCCTGTTATTTCCCAGCTTTCCCCCTCATCTGCCTCTGAGCTGTGACCTCCCTCAAACCCCTGTTGTAATTCTGAACTGTCTTCTTCTCTGGGAAGGCGGTCTCCACCATTCCTCCTCTGCCCAGACCCTGACAGCTGGGCATGTTTAGCCTGGAGAAGAGTTGGCATGATAGCAACTTTCAAGTATCTAAAGGGCTGCTGCGTAGATGATGACACAAGTTTGTTTTGCAGAAGGCAGAACCGAAACCAGTGGATTCAACTTACAAGAAAAGAGACTCTGGCAAAACGTTAGGAAGGCAGCCCTGTTTAGGGAAGCTTTTAATGTTTGATGCATTACTGTATTTTAATGTTTTGTTGGAAGCCGCCTGTGGCGATCACACAGGGTCCCTGGACGTTTGACGGTCTATTGATCCCTGTGCCACCACTGTGCTCGCTTCCCCGCTGCCACCAACCCGTTACTCTCGGGTACACACTGAGTCCAGACAGTTGTTAAAATTAAACCAAATAAACACATTTATTTTAGAAGCATTAACAAGTTTATGGTTTCTCAGATAATTTTCTTGTCAGTTTATTAACCTTAGTTTCTTTACCGGCCTATACCTTCCTAATACCTTCTGACTGATTATCTCAACTGTTTGACTGACTCTTCTTAACAGATTCTCTCACTCTCTCACATCAGACTAGCCCAACCCACAGACTTATCCTTCCTTCCTCTTCTCTAACTCCAGACTGACTTCTTAACAACTCTAACTCTAACTCCTCCCCTTGGGTTCCTATAGGTTAGTCCTATTACACTTAGTTAACCCTTTCCTTATGAACCCAGTATGATGTCACACACCTAGGATGGCAAACACCACACCGCCCAGAGTGGCTGGGGAAGCCCAGCCAGATGGGTGGGGTATAAATAATAAATTATTATTATGTTATTATTTCTAATGTTAATAGCTGTTTGACAATTTTTTCAGGATCCTCTGAGCCTTTCACAACACATACTTTGGGAGCTGTGTTTTGTTTTGTTTTTTTTTTTTTAGCTAATGCAAATCTCCACATATTTTTTATCCCAAAGCGAAAATTACCATTCCCACAAGGTTTTCCATTTGGGGGCAATTGAAGTTCTGGCAGCCACCAACAACCGTGTCAAGAGTTCCTGTGAATTGAACTTCTTCAGCTAATTGTCTCATGGATTTAGTAAACAAATTGGCTGTGAGGTTGGAATGGGATGTTTGAGTTATTTCTTGACAAACCTGTTATGTACTGAAGTTCTCACCCTGGGCCAGCAGGGGGATACTGTAGATAGTTATGCAAATAAGGGATCGAAAGTGACGTTCAGTGATTGGATAGTTTTAGAAAATTGTTACAGTTACGTTTTACTGGAGCTCTATATAAGCAGGCTGACTGAACCCTTCAGTTCAGTTCTGTTCTGGCCTGTGAATAAACAAGAGCTGTTTGAAGAATCACTGTGTCGTCTGATATGTTCACCCACAACTTAACAAAAGCACTGTCCAGAATTTAAATACCTGTGGGCAGCCCTACTATAGATGGAGAATGGCGCCTCTTTTCCCGCATCCCCTCCAGCAATTCTGAGAGAATTGCGATCTGCAGATTCTGTGCTGCTATGAATGCTGCCGGTTTTTGGAGTCTAGGTTGGGAGCGTGGCCTAGTGTGTGCAGAATTTTTAACACCATCCGTGTAAATGAACTGAAAAACATTTTTAAAGGTGCATTTTTTTATATAATATATACAATTAGAAGTAAAACAGAAACAGCACATACCACTAAATTCAAGGGAATAAATTCATGTGCCAAAGGACCAGGAAAGGGAATATAAGCAACAGAATGGAAAGGGGGCGACAGACGTTGTTGAAGGCCCCTCAAATGGTTAGACACAATCAGAAAATAAAGAAAGCAAACCCATGAAAGGAACATCCTCAGATAGCCTTGTTTGCTCTAGCATAATTGTGTGTGTGTAGCGAGGGCAGGGTATGAAGAACACACACAAACACAAATAACTTGTTTTTAATGCTATGGTGCAAAAGGGATTTAAGGCCATTTCTACATCCATTAGGCAAGGGATTTTGTATGTTCCACTGCAAAGAGTGAGCATTTTCAACAGCTTTTACTTAAATGAAAATGACAGGTTATTGCAGCATAATGTTGTTAATCTTTTCCTAAAAGCTTGATGTTACTACTTAGTAGTTTACTAATAAATCATAGAAAATATGTAATGTCATTTTCACTTAGACATAGATGAATGGCTCTTCAGTTTGTACAAAGTTGTAAAGCAGGTACTGTCATGGCATTTGGGAAGAGTAGAAAAAAGAAAATTATATCCTATTGGCCCTCCTTTCTACCCTCAGGCTACACTGTATTATATAGTTAGATATTTTACCAGCAATTCAGTAATATGCCAACAGCAGGCTATCAATTATTTCAGGCAAAATACATTAAGGATAGGGTTTTAATTCTGCAATGATTTTTTTAACCTTCCTTTTTCGTGATTTTATGGTTCCCTTTTGCTTTAAGTGCTGAAAAATGTTTGGCTGTAGGATGCAAGTTCCCGAATCCTTATTTGGGAGCCAGTTCCATTGATTCTTGCTTCTGCAGCCATTGCATTTGATCTAAGAAAAGTTGCAGCCATGTTTTGTGGTGGTCCACCCACCATGCTAGCCCTGGACATGAGGTTTTTCAGATCTAAGCAGGTCTGGCACATGTTGTCATTGTTTAGTCGTTCAGTCATGTCCGACTCTTCGAGATCCCATGGACCAGAGCACTCCTGTCTTCCACTGCCTCCCGCAGTTTGGTCAAACTCATGTTGGTAGCTTCGAGAACACTGTCCAACCATCTCGTCCTCTGTCGTCCCCTTCTCCTTGTGCCCTCAATCTTTCCCAACATCAGGGTCTTTTCCAGGGAGTCTTCTCTTCTCATGAGGTGGCCAAAGTGTTGGAGCCTCAGCTTCAGGATCTGTCCTTCCAGTGAGCACTCAGGGCTGATTTCCTTCAGAATGGAAAGGTTGGATCTTTTCCCAGCAATTCTTTGGCCAGTCACATCGGTTTATTTTTACCTCACACTTCTAATGTGTGCACATCACTCAGAATGGCTTGCAGTAGTTGGAATCACAATTTCATAGCAACAATATCAAACAAACAAATTGCAGTAGAGACAGGCATAAGTGCGATGGGGAGAGAGTTATGGAAACTAAAAGAGCATAGAAAGGAAGCACATGAGGGAAGAACAGGAAGCACCAACACTGCACTTGGGTCACTTGTCCCCTTCCTCAAGGAGCCGCACAGCAAGGATCATGGGAAGAAGAAGAAGAAGAAGAAGAAGAAGAAGAAGAAGAAGAAGAAGAAGAATTTATTATTTGAATCCCATCCATCTGGCTGAGTTTCCCCAGCCACTCTGGGCGGCTCTCAACAGAATATTAAAAACTTCCCTAAACAGGGCTGCCTTCAGATGTCTTCTAAAAGTCAGATAGTTGTTTATTTATTTGACATCTGATGGGAGGGTGTTCCACAGAGAGGGCTCCACCACCGAGAAGGTCCTCTGCCTGGTTCCCTGTAACTTCACTTCTCACAATGAGGGAACCACCAGAAGGCCCTTGGAGCTGGACCTCAGTGTCCAGACTGAATGATGAATGATCCTGAGTTTCAGGACCGGTGTTATAGGATCTTGGCGGCCACTCCCAGTCACCAGTCTAGCTGCCGCATTCTGGATTAATTGTAGTTTCCGGGTCACCTTCAAAGGTAGCCCCACGTAGAGCACATTGCAGAAGTCCAAGCGGGAGATAAATAGAGCATGCAACTTACAGGGATTAAACTTGTGTACATTCCTCTTTATGCACTTATCATCATCATCATCATCATCATCATCATCATCGGGGAAATGGGCCTGGTGTCCAGGGGGAAAGACTTTGGCCATTCCACCAACCAGTGCACTTAATGTTCTTTGAGAATACGCTCTCTTGGCTCTGCCTCATTCTGGATTAATTGTAGTTTCCGGGTCACCTTCAAAGTTAGCCTCACTTAGAGCACATTGCAATATTCCAAGCGGGAGATAACTAGAGCACCACTTTCCTGGACCAGGGCTTACATGAAAGTTAGACACATGTTCCAGTCTATCCCACTCTGTGCAGGACTAGCATGTGTGAAACCTGTATTTGACCCTGGGTCAGAGAGTGCATGTCGCTGCTGAACACTGAAAAACATGGAACATCATAATAATGCTGTCTAGTTTATTGGAGAATCTGTCATCTGAACTTAACGTTCAACGTTGCAGAGAAAGGGAGGCTTTGTATGATATTCCCTGGAACAGCAGCTCACTTTATTTATTTATTCCGTTTTCCCTCAAGAGCCACTCCATCGGATGTCCAAAGGATCCAAAACATTTTTCTCAGAAACAGTTCCGAAAGCTTTTTTTAACCTCTTGCTACACTTCTCCTTAAAGGTACTTGAGATGCTTTTTGACTCATCACCATCTTCCCCCCTCCCCATACGCTCTGCAATATACCGTATTTTTTGCTCTATAAGACTCACTTTTTCCCTCATAAAAAGTAAGGGGAAATGTGTGTGCGTCTTATGGAGCGAATGCAGGCTGCACAGCTATCACAGAAGCCAGAACAGCAAGAGGGATTGCTGCTTTCACTGCACAGTGATCTCTCTTGCTGTTCTGGCTTCTGGGATTCAGAATACAGTGGTACCTCAGGTTACATACGCTTTAGGTAACATACGCTTCAGGTTACAGACTCCACTAACCCAGAAATATTGCTTCGGGTTAAGAACTTTGCTTCAGGATGAGAACAGAAATTGTGATCCAGCGGCGCGGCGGCAGCGTGAGGCCCCATTAGCTAAAGTGGTGCTTCAGGTTAAGAACAGTTTCAGGTTAAGAACGGACCTCCGGAATGAATTAAGTACTTAACCAGAGGTACCACTGTATTTTTTTTCTTGTTTTCCTCCTCCAAAAACTAGGTGCGTCTTGTGGTCTGGTGCATCTTATAGAGCGAAAAATACGGTAGTTCCTTTGTCTACATTATCATGGCACTTGCCAAGAACATCTTCTGTAGTCACCTTAGCTATGCCTCATGCTACCACACCCTCCATTTCCTCTTCCTGGCTGTTTACTGCTTGGTTGAAGTGTCTTCTTCATTGTTCCATATCTTCTCATTGTACTCATTCTTCATTCAGACCTCTTCTAAAACTTTATATATGAATGGGTATGGAGATGACATGAGAATAACATACGTATGGAATGCATAAATGCAGTTAAAAACAAACAAACAAACAAACAAACAAACAAACAAACAAACAAACACAAAAGTAACATTTTCAATGGGTCTTTCAGCCATAGAACATGTTGTGGTCATATCTTTTCAGTGAGGCTTTAACAGTTCAGAGAAATCCCTTCTCTTGTGTATCACACATTGTGGTTTCCTTTTGCCCACTGTTCATAGCTGTCAACTTACAGATTTGAAAAGAAGGGACCAGCAGCCTCGAAAATAAGAGATCAGCAGCCAAAATAAGGGATTTTCAGAGCACAGGGAGGTTCAACTTCTGAGCCCCTCTGAGCCAACGGCAGAAAGCCCAGCCAGCAGCCAAACAAAGCCTCAAGTGGTGGTTCCCACAGCGCAGCAACCCGGCAAAGAGGATGCAGCAAGGAAAACCACTGTCACCTCTCTGCTGGGAAGTGCTGAGCAAAGGCGAGTCCCCAGGCAACGCAGCCGATTTGAAATGGGCGCAAGGCATCGCTCCACCCCAGTCGTTTGCTTGGAGCTCTTGGCCCGGAACAAAGCAAGCCAACAGCACAGTTAGACCCTCCTCCCTGGCCCCAGCGGCAGGGGAGGAGGGAGAGGAGCTGCTTCCTGTGAAGCCGGGGGTGCATTCTTCAGTGTGCTTAAATAAAGTCCACACAGGATCTTAGCAGCTAAAAGCAGTTTTATTTACAGCAGGCTATCCATTATCTATCACAGCGAACAGCATCGCGAAAACACGTCCTCTCTCCTCAAAAGCGAAAGTAGAGAGACAGAACAAAGACTTGAGTCTCTCGGAACTGACGTAGCTTTTCCCCCCTCCCACTAGTAGGCAGAGCGTACACTCTGAGCTGTTTAACCCTGTAAGCTCAGGTTCTCCTCACACCCCCTCTCGCTCTGCGCTACTGTGGGGACAGTAAGTACAGAACTTACCCCCAACTCCAAACCACCACAAAACTCCCCATGACGCTGGAAGCTTAAAGGTTTGGTAAATCCATCGGCCAGGTTACTGTGACTGGCACAGTACTTCAGTCGTATCAAACCTGACTGAACACTCTGACACACATTTCGGAAACGTATGTCCAGATGCTTGGTTCTCGCCTTAAATTGCGCAGATTCAGCCAACTTCAAACAAGGCTGATTGTCTTCCCAAACCGTGATGGGCAAGCTACAATCCCCATAGATCTCTTGCACCAAGCATCTATAGAACTCTAGTTCTCGGCACAAATCTGACAGTGCACTGAATTCAGCCTCAGTAGAAGACAGCGCAATGAGACTTTGCTTCCGGGACTTCCACCCAACCAGTGACTTCCCAAACTTTATCACCAACCCAGACACAGACTTGCGGTCCTGCGGACTCGCCCAGTCACTGTCCGCATAGCATGTGAGCTTCGCCTCACCTTCAGCTGGCAGCTTAAGACAGAAGTCTTTGGTATGCTGCAGGTAGCGCAGTACCCGCTTGATACCGTGCCAAGCACTCACACTGGGCTTTGACGCTTCCCTACTTAGCAGGTTGGTAGCAAAGGCAATGTCTGGTCTGCTCCATTGGGACAGATACAACAGACTACCTAGAGCTGACTGAAAGAGCTCAGCATTCTCAAACTCAGCACTTTCTGCTTGCTGGCTATCTTTCACGAAGTTCGTCTCCATGGGTGTCCGAACTCCTGCACAATCGGACATTCTGAACTTCTCCAGCAACTGCTCAATCTTGCCTTTCTGACTGAGCAAGAAGCTACCATCCTCAGTTCTCGCTATCTGGACGCCTAGGTAGATCTTTACTGCACCCAGGTCCTTGAGCTGAAACCGTTTCCCAAGCTCTTTGGCAAACTTCTGCACCTGTTTGTCTGCCTTTCCAACATTTGATAGGCACAAGGCATGCAAGCTCCACCCCCCAGTCGTTCTTAGACTCCTTATTGGGTGAGCAAAGCAGCCAAGCAACACAGTTGGAGCCTCCCTCCTCCCTGGCCGGCAGGGAGGGAGGGAGAGGAGCTACTTCCTTTGAAACCCGGGAAATTTAAGGGAAATTTAAACCCCAATGCAAAAATCCTGAGGATCCATGTGGATCCGTGCTTTGTAACCACATTTTTGCTCCATTGCAGCCCCAGGAAACAGTGGATGCGTGATTTTTTTGGTGCAGGCTATAGCCATGGACATGCTATGTGATCTGATAGTGAATTTGGGGTGACCCAATGTAAAAATCCTGAGGATCCATGGGCTTTTACCTCCCCCCTCCCAGGCAGCCTCCGCTAGCATCCTTTATTTCTCATCTGATCCCACCGATCAGCTGTTTCCTTTCAACACTCCCTTCCCTCTTGTTTGCCTTAGTGTCTTTTCCTTAGCTGGAGCAGTTTTTTGCTCCTCCTTTTCTTCTAATTTCTCTCCTTATTGCTTTAGTCTTCCTGTTTTCCCCCTTTGCAAGTTTGCTGTCTTTACCTCCCCCCTCCCAGGCAGCCTCCTATATTTCTAGCGTCCCTTATATCTCTCCCCGATTGGCAAACGATCAGCGGCTTTGTTTCAGCACCCACTTCCCTCTTTAAAAAAAAAAGCATGATCTGCTTTTTGCCCCTGGGCAATTTGGCTCCAGGGACCACGCATTCGCTCCATAAGATGCACAGACATTTCCCCTTACTTTTTAGGAAGACAAAAGTGTGTCTTATGGAGCAAAAAATACGGTGAGTTTTGGAGATCGCGCCAGAGCCAAAATAGCATATAGCCACAACACATCAGGTGCAATGGGTGGTGGAATGGCCAAAGTCTTTCCTCCTGGAAACCAGGCCCATTTCCATCATCATCATCATCATCATCATCCCAAGTGCATAAAGCTGAATGTACACAGGTTTAATGCCTGTAAGTTGCTGGTTTTCTGGACAAGCACCTTCAGAGCTCTGTGTCCCCAGAGCATTGCGTGAGCTATGCCTCATTTCAAGCCTGAACCCTGCCTTACCTTACTGAACACTCTGACTGGACTTCACCTTGCCTCACTGCACTGCAGAGCTGGACCCTGCTTTGGAAACAGGAAGGCAAAGTTCGCTCACCCTTCCTGTTTCCTCACATTTATTCCCACAATGAAGTCAATGAGATTTGATCCATTTAAATCCAGACATTTTACCTTAATTGAGTTTTGGAGCGGACTCCCAACGCCCCATGACAAATGTCAAGCCATACGATTTAAATCAACACTTCTACAATATTCAGGATGAATGCCCTGTGTTTATTTTCCAATGTCCAATAGGAGGCAATAGAGAGAAAAAAAGAATGGTTTCAAGAATGGCTTAAAATGGTTTCAGGAAAAGCAGCAGATCTCTCCCCCCCCCCAAGTATTTTATTATTATTATTATTATTATTATTATTATTATTTTGGCTGTTTCAGACTCTGCAATGGAAATTGAAATTTAATTGAAAATTAGCCTGGTAAAAATGCAGTCAGACACACAGAGCCTTATTTCCGGCAAGATTTGTGAGGAAAGGAACATTTGTTTCCATGCTGGGTCAACAGCAAACACATGTTAAAATGTATAAAAATAAGAAGGAAGGATAGTTTGCAATGTCTGAACTGGGCATTTCCAGAAGGTGGTGCTGGGAGACTATTGCTCTTCTTCATGGCAGCTATACTGTGGTGTTTCCTTGAGCTCGTGTTTTGACCTCCATATTATTTAAGATCTATATGAAGCTGCTGAGTGAGGTCACCTGAGGATCTGTGCTGAGGTGTCATCAGTATGCCAATGACTCCCCCAGCAATACCTCTCCTTCTCATCAGAGCCAGGCGACGCTGGTCTCTGACCGAAATAAAGTTTGATACTGATACAGGTGAGGCTGTGAGGGTGCGGGATTAGTGCCTGGAATCAATAAAGAATGAGATGAAGGTCGCTCAACTGAAATTAAATGCAAATAAAATATGGAGATCCCGTTGATAGTCTGCCATGGGAGGTGGTGATCATTGTGTGGACAGGCAGAGTCCCCCAAACCCTGGGCGCCCCCTCCATGTGGAATAACGACTCAAGACAACGTGCCATGGGATTAAAATTGGCCACAACTTTATTATATTTCAGATGTGGGTAGACCTTGGCTCAGGCATTGGGCGTTTATCCCTCCCAGTCCCCCGCCAGGGATCTGGGGAACATCAGGGTTATCCAGAATGCGTGGGGATTGGGCTGGCTCTGGAGAACATATGTTCAAGCAGAGAGAGCCCGTCCCCAAAGCCTCCCCTCAAACAACCCCTTTAACAGGGAATCCTGGTATCACCGCTGCAAAGAGGAAGGGGGTGTGGGTCACTGCTGCACGCCCCCATTCAGGGAAGATAGACTAAAGGATTCCGCCCAACGCCTGATACCGCCAAAGTTGTGACGTTTTGCTACAGGAAAGGCAAAACCTGCTAATGCAAGGGAATTCCTTTCCGGCCCTTCAACAGCGACCCTGACGTAGCAGCGCCCACGGACCTGTGGAGAAAAGGTTAACCTGCAAAAGATGTCTTAACTGAGGGTAGGTAGGGTGGGAGAAGCTCTGGAGCCAACTGACGATTCCCAGGGAAGATCCTCCCCCTATTGTGTGGGCAGGTAGTCCCTCCCCCTACCTGGCCTGGTCACCTTGGCAACGCTTCCCCAGGCGGGATTGGGCAACTGGAAGAGGTAGGCGGAGACCTCCAGGCATCCCACCTGTGGGAAGGAGAAGCCAAGCCTGTGCTAATGGAGCCACATAGGGTCCAGGGGCTGCGCGTGACCACACAAAGGGCGCCCCCCATTTAATGTGGGGAGTGGTCATTCTGAACAGGTTTGCACTCTAGTGAAAGGATCAAGTTCACCATGTGGGGATGCTATTCACACTGGCATTGTCCTGTGTGGCTTCCACGTCACAAAACACCTTCCCCCATCTTCATCCTGTGCTGCATCTTCTCCTACACAGAGATAGCCTGGCCACAGCTGTCCGTGTTTGATAACATATCTCTTGGACTACTGGAATGTGTTCCATGTGAAGCTGCCTCTCCAGACTGTTCGTAAACGACAGTTGCTTTAAATACTGCACATCAGTCAAACTGTGGACTGGGACTGGGGACAGGAGAAATATCTCACTAGCTTTGAAACAGCTGCCCTGGCTCCTGATCCATTTCCAAGTACAATTCAAAAACCTGCCACTCATCTTTAAATCCCTACGCAGCCCATCCTCCTTTGGTAATTCCACCTTCCCAGGTAAAGTGGAAGTGGCAACTACGAAGGTGGTCTTTGGACCCCTTGCCCCAAATTCACCTGGATTATATTCTGTTGTTTTGTTGCCACCAGAGATCTCTTTATTCTTTCAGTGTTACAAAACCCTTCAAACAAGGGCTGGGTTGCCCGTGACCACCCCAGATTTTGCTAGACTACAGCTCTCATCATCTCTGACCATTGGCCATACTGTCTGGGGCTGATGGAAGTTGGAGTCTGACCACAGACTCCCTAATACTGTTTTGAGCCACTATTAAAGCATTTATTAGTCCAACAACATCTTGATGAATGCACCCTGCTTTAAGCTGCAGTCAACATTTCTATTAACACTCCCTTATTGATCTACTGTTTTGCTATTTTTTAAATTAAAAATAATAATAATTGGTTTTTCTATTGTCTTTATTGGGTCTCAAACCCTTGGTCTGTTAGAGACTTCCCTTCCATGTGAAGACAGGCTCTGGTGGATGGAACAGACAAGGTCAATAGTGGGTCCAACGTTCAAGAAGGCGGTTTCTGCACATGTTGTAGAGGGAAGTGAGGGGCAGATGAAGCTGGTCAACCTGGGAAGGTCGTCCATCTAGGGGAAGGGAAACTCTGATCCTAAATCTCTGTTGCCTTCATCCCCTCAGTATCCACTCCCCAACTAAAGTAAGGCCCAAATACACACAATTTGCGCTTTGTCAATCCTTTGCTACTTCTGCCTCTTCCATCCCTTGTTGGTTCCTCAGAATTTGCTTATACTGTAAGCGAGGGATGGGTGAATCTGTGGCCCTGCAGACGTTGTTGGACTCCATTTCCCATCATCCTCAGCCGGGGATGATGGGAGTTGGAGTCCAACAACTTCCAGAGCCCCACAATTTTCCCATCCCTGCTATACACCTTTGGTTGCTTTGAGCCCTGGAATTGGAAAGGTGGTCCAGAAATCCTTTAAAACAACAAACAAACAAACAAACAAAATATTGTTAGCTACACTGTATATTGGAAGGGTGCCGGCTCGATTGACTCCATCTGATAAATGACCGATATATGCCATTTAAATGCACCCACCTCCAGCAGCTATCTGCGAGTCGATGAAAACAGCAAGACAAAAAGGGATTATATGCACCATTGAGTTTGACTTTTGGAAATGGAATGAAATATGAGGTATGTGTTTTGTGGGATATTTGGCAGCTGTGCAAGTATTCTTCACTTTTCTCGGGTGAAAATGCAGAAAGGAGATGTTAAAAGATTGAAATAGGGCTGTGCCAGATTTTTACCCACAAAAATTTTGGGAGTGAAACCGGGGGTTTGGAAGGAAAACTCCATACCCTTAAATTGCTTCCTTTTTCATGGGATGCCTGTTCTGATCTGCAGCTTGGTCACCATATATATATATATATATGCGCGCACAGGTCTTATTTTTAAGCAGGTCATCAACAACAATAACAACAACAAATTTTTATTTATACCCTGACCTCCCCGGCCATTGCTGGGTGAAGGGCGGCTAACACCAATAAAATTACAGTGGTACCTCGGGTTAAGTACTTAACTCGTTCAGGTGGTCTGTTCTTAACCTGAAACTGTTCTTAACCTGAAGCACCACTTTAGCTAATGGGGCCTCCTGCTGCCGTTGCGCCGCTGGAGCACGATTTCTGTTCTCATCCTGAAGCAAAGTTCTTAACCTGAAGCACTATTTCTGGGTCAGCAGAGTCTGTAACCTGAAGCATATGTAACCTGAAGTGTATGTAACCCAAGGTACCACTGTACAATAAAACATAATGGGGGGGGGCAACCAACCCCCCCACCAAAAACAACCAGTTTATTAAAATACGGGTTAAAATACAATTTAAAATGCAGCCTCATTTTAATAGTAGTCCATAAATCAAAACCAGAAGGGGAGGGAAACGTAAGGGTCAGAATGAGTCCAAACCAAAGGCCAGGTGGAACAGCTCTGTCTTGCAGGCCCTGTGGAAAGATATCAAGTCCCGCAGGGCCCTAGTCTCTTGTGACAGAGTGTTCCACCAAGTCGGGGCCAGTACTGAAAAGGCCCTGGCCCTAGTTGAGACCAATCTAACCACCTTGCATAGGGCAATTATGAAGGCAATTAACTAATCATTTCACTTAAATAATTGGAACACTGCCAGGCAGGGATGTAAGGAGGCAGCAACTTATGCCCTGTCAAAAATTGTGGGATCAGAGATGAAATGACTAATCTGCTACATTAATGAATTTTATTGAGATGCCACCTTAAGCCCAGAATTTGGAAATTGTGCAACACCCTCCCCCCTGGGGGGGGGGATGACCCTCTCACCTGCTTATAATATTTATCTGCTTAGGAATGTTCCTAAGGTTTATTGCCACATCAAATCCCCCTTTTAAAAAATAAATAAATAAGGAAATGTTAAAATTAAGAACTAATGTTCAAATGAAAGAATCATTATATTTTTACTGTTTCCGTCAGCAAACCAGCAAATGTCGAACAGTTGAAATGACTTTAGAACAGCAATAAATTATTTCACGCATACATGCAAAATATTAAAACCAGAAGGTTGCTTCAGTAGGAAGTCACTGGGACTTCGAGACAGGGTGGCCTTTGTTAATTACGTGCTTCTTTATTAGCTTAGCCTCACTAAAGAATTGCAGATACCCAGGATCTCAATGCTGTTGACCGAATGCAGTCATACGGGTTTTATTGTGTGCCTTGTGAAAAATACTTTTAGTTGTTTGCTCTTTCCTAGTAAAGCTCTTGCTCTAACTGTGTCGCCAAACTGTTTTACAGACCTTAAGAGGGCTTAAGGTCTCCGAACAGGTTCTTTGTGGCTGCGGTTTACTCTCTGCACTACAGCTAAGCATACACTTGTCTGTGTCATTAAAGGACCTTTAAAGGTGTGCATCCGAGAGATTATAGTGATGAAGATTAGGTAAGCAAATATAGGGTCATGCTGAGCAGCCAAGTTGGCTGTTGCTTGGAAGCCAAATGTCAACAAACGACAGTGGTCAAATGGGCCTTTCCTTAAGGCGGAGATCCCTGCATATGAGCTGCAGCCTTCCAGCCCCTCCTTTCACTCTTAAGTAGCTCAGCATGACCTAGAGGGCAAGTGTGGTGTAGGGGTTAGGGTGCCAGCCTAGGACCCAGAAGACCAGGGTTCAAATCCCCACGCAGCCATGAGATTGCCTGGGGTGAAATCTACACACACACATTATATATTTAAAAAGCTGTGAAAATCCTTTTTAAAAAACGTTTTGAAAAACACATTGGATTTTTGCATAGCTCCCTGTCGCCATCTAGTGTCACATTTGTATATTGCACTTTACAACACATTTTATTTGCAGTTTTATAGCTGAGCCCTAGGTTAGGTCAGGATTAGGGATAGGATTGCTTGGGTCTTCTTTTTCTAGGACAAGTCCTTTTCTCCAGTTCTGGTTGATATATGTCCTCTTTTCCCCGGAGACGTCCTCTTTTGCAGGATTAAAACTCATGCCTGGGTGGATTTTTAAAATTTGGCAAAATGTCTGGGGTTTTTTGTTTACAGTAACCCAAGATTTTTTTCCTAGTGCATTAGACTCAGATCTAAGGCACTCAGCTAAGCTAGTCTGTAGCAAAGAATCACAACAGTGCAGCATCTTAAACTAGCTAGTAAAGGTAAAGGGACCCCTGACCATTAGGTCCAGTCGTGACCGACTCTGGGGTTGCGGCGCTCATCTCGTTTTATTGGCTGAGGGAGCCGGTGTACAGCTTCCGGGTCATGTGGCCAGCATGACTAAGCCACTTCTGGTGAACCAGAGCAGCACACAGAAACGCCGTTTACCTTCCCGCCAGAGTGTTACCTATTTATCTACTTGCACTTTGACGTGCTTTCGAACTGCTAGGTTGGCAGGAGCAGGGACTGAGCAACGGGAGCTCACCCCGTCACGGGGATTCGAACCGCCAACCTTCTGATCGGCAAGTCCTAGGCTCTGTGGTTTAGACCACAGCGCCACCCACGTCCTACATACGGTATAAATCCCTTCTCTTGAACTAAAAGGATGCTGTCTCAGCTACAAGATCTTGGAGAAAGAGTCTTGGGGGGTGGCGGCAAAATTAACATCCCCCTGACCTTAAGGAGAGTCCATATGTACATGTTAAACAGTTTAATAAATTGGTCTGTGCACACTTACGTTCATGAACATGAGCCCAAATACTTTCATGTGGCAAGGGAGGAAGCAAGATGTATTATTATTTTGCTGCTGAAAGTTAAGAACATTGCTACTAGCAATATATCACAGCTTCTATAGCCTACATATACTGTAGGAGGGATATTTAAAATGAGAGTCGTCCTAGCGATCTGTCGTTAAAAGTGGAAGTCGGCAAATGTGTCCTCTTTTTTGCTCTTCAAAATATGGCAGACCTAACCCGGGTGACCTTGGGTCAGTTGCTGCCTAACCTACTTTGGTGGCATCTGTCTGTCTCAAGAGACAATGGAGTGAGCCTCTGGGGGTGAAGTGAGCTTTTTGGGGTGCAAGCGAATTAAATTACTATAAAAAGGTAAAGGGACCCCTGACTATTAGGTCCAGTCGTGGTCGACTCTGGGGTTGTGGCGCTCATCTCGCTTTATTGGCCGAGGAAGCTGGCGTACAGCTTCCGGGTCATGAGGCCAGCATGACTAAGCCGCTTCTGGTGAACCAGAGCAGCTCATGGAAACACCGTTTACCTTTCCGCCGGAGCAGTACCTATTTATCTACTTGCACTTTGACGTACTTTTGAACTGCTAGGTTGGCAGGAGCAGGGACCGAGCAACGGGAGCTCACCCCGTCACGGGGATTCGAACCGCCGACCTTCTGATCGGCAAGTCCTAGGCTCTGTGGTTTAACCGACAGCACCACCCAGTTAATAGCGCAGTCTGACTTGGAACAATGAGAACTTTCCTCAAATCACCCTGACTTGCCTCCTCATTTGGGGGTAAACACAGAGCCAACATCCACTCCTTTTTTATATATATAATTTTTTTATTAGTTTTTTAACATATCATTTTCAACAGTAATTAAACATACTTTTACATCTTATTCAATTTTTTTGACTTCCATCAATCCTGTCTGAAAATTTTCCAATCTAACCTCTCAGTATGCATTTCTTATCTTCCCTATTACATTTCAAACTCATAATCAATATCTCTATCTTTTTCTACTTTGTAACACTTCGTATAGTTCTCCTTACAAAACTTATAGTAGTCCTACTAGCGTAATTTGTTGATTACAGTTGCTCTTCAAATAATTCATATACTTCTTCCAATCTTCTGTAAATCTCTGGTCCCGCAGGTTTCGAATCCATCCTGTCATTTTGTCCAATTCTGCATAGTCCATTAATTTCATCTGCCGTTCCTCTTTCATCGGAATTTCTTCTTGTTGCCAACATCCACTCCTAAGAAATATGCGACGATAACTTTGCCATCAAGTTACAGTTGAAATGTTCAAGTCTGCATTGGCTCATATAACAGAAAGATGTGACAAAAGAGAAAAATGAGAGCAGATTTGTGGATTTTAATTTTTTTTTTTGTAAGAAGCGCATTGGATACAAACAAATCAAACCTATGTCAATATTTTCATGAACAGACAGCACTCAGCGATGATGGTGCAAAGTTAACATTTAGCCTTTGGGGCAACAGCTGCTTCTGCTGCTTAGAGGCTGAACTGCAGAGTTTATTGTCTGAGCTGAAGGTCTGCCCTCATATATTCAGAAGGCTGAGACCGCCATATACTGTAGCTTGCAGTGATAAGGGGGAATGAGAAACAGAGGTACTTTCTTTCCCTCTAATTCAGGGGTCGGCAACCTTTTTCAGCCATGGGCTGGTCCACCATCCCTCAGACCATGTGGGGGGGCCGGACTATATTTTTTGGGGGGGGGGGGAATGAACAAATTCCTATGCCCCAGAGATGCATTTTAAATAAAAGCACACATTCTACTCATGTAAAAAACACCAGGCAGGGCCCACAAATAACCCAGAGATGCATTTTAAATAAAAGGGCACAAATAAAAACACGCTGATTCCCAGACCGTCCACAGGCCGGATTTAGAAGGCGATTGGGCTGCATCCGGCCCGCGGGTCTTAGGTTGCCTACCCCTGCTCTAATTGGACTTTCCACTTCAGAGCAGCAGACTCGTGGTCCAGAAAGGCTGAGCTTTAGAATACAGTGGAACTTCGGAAGCCGAACATCTGTAAACTCGGAACATTTTGGCTCCTGAATGATCGAAAACTGGAAAAGATTGTTCCATTTTTTTAATGATTTTTGGAAGCCGAACGTCCGGGACAGCTTCTGCAGCTTCCGATTGGCTACAGGACGCTCCTGCAGCCAATCGGAAGCTGCGCCTTGGAAGTTGAACATTTTGGAAGTCGAACAGACTTCCAGAATGGATTCTGTTCGACTTCCAAGGTACACCTGTATACATAGGTAAAGGTAAAGGGACCCCTGACCATTAGGTCCAGTCGTGGCCGACTCTGGGGTTGCGGTGCTCATCCCGCTTTATTGGCTGAAGGAGCCGGCATATAGCTTCCGGGTCATGTGGCCAGCATGACTAAGCTGCTTCTGGCGAACCAGAGCAGCGCACGAAAACACCGTTTACCTTCCCGCCAGAGTGGTACCTATTTATCTACCTGCACTTTGACGTGCTTTCGAATTGCTAGGTTGGCAGGAGCAGGGACCGAGCAACTGGAGCTCACCCCGTCTCAGGGATTTGAACTGCCGACCTTCTGATCGGCAAGTCCTAGGCTCTGTGGTTTAACCCACAGCGCCACCCATGTCCCTACACCTGTATACATATTGGCATCTAAATAAATAGTTGGTCAAATAGCCCACCTTTCTGTTTCTCGTACCAGACTCAACTCTGGCATCATGCAGGCAAGAGTAAGAGGAAATGCGTCAATATGAATACAGTTCTGTTGTATGTTGGGCTCTGCCTTCTGGGATCTCCTGCATTTGAGTAGTGATGAAGGAGTAAAATTAAGACTTTTTGCAAGTCAGATGGGAGCAAGTACAGGATGAAAAGGCCTTAACAGCTTGGGACCAGTTTGCTAGCCAGATCGCCTTACCAGCAGCCAGAGCAATGGCAGCAAATAAAAATACTAAACACATACTAAAAGCAGTGGCAATTAAAAAAAAAAAAAATCCCTGGTTGGGGACGCAAATTTTCTACACCCAGCATTGCATCAGTACAGCTGCATGCTTCTGTCACATGGCTCTGTTGAAAACTGCATCTCCATGCGAACCAGGAAGTGACCTCTCCAGACAACAGAATGACTCTTCTTTTGTATCTCTGTGGCTGCAATCTCTTGGGTGACGCAGCTGAATGAGCATGCATACTCCTTCCCTCCCACCCCATCCACACGGCCCCGGGCACTGGCAACCCCTGCTATGCCACTGTGCCCAGGCTCCAAGATTCACCTTGTATCTAGTTCTAGACTCAATGTAGTGATTTGTCTGATGTGATTCACGTGACTTAACTATTTGGAAGGCTAACCAGATGAGTAGCAAAACCAAAGGCAGCTGGCTGTTTAACTCATGAGTCAACATGTCTGTTTAATTGGGCTGCGGTCGATACCTACCTGGATAATCCTTGTGTTAATCAAAACAGAGAAGAATGCTAGCCTCTGCCACTGAATCACACGAGGACTGTGTGATATGATGTGGCATTCATCTTCATTAGGGAACAGACACCTAGTAATTATTCATTCCAAGATATTTTCTCTGGGAGTGAAGCAGCCTTCCAAGTGGGGAGCAATATCACAACATCAAAAACCAAACACATTATTTTTATTGCACGATCCAATTATGATTGGAGCTAAGAAGTCAAAATGTTATGGTAATTAAAAATGTGATAACTAAGACAAAGGCAGCGGGAAGGTAAACGGCGTTTCCGTGCGCTGCTCTGGTTTCGCCAGAAGCGGCTTAGTCATGCTGGCCACATGACCCGGAAGCTGTACACCGCTCCCTCGGCCAATAAAGCAAGATGAGTGCCGCAACCCCAGAGTCGGCCACGACTGGACCTAATGGTCAGGGGTCCCTTTACCTTTACCTTAAGACAAAGGCAGGATAAATGATGTTTTATTTTGCAACACACACAGACCCATTCCACTCCTGCACAGTGCTTGGCTAGTATCGTAGGTGAGGTGTAAGAGGTTTCAGAGATTCTTCAAGTTTGAGAGATGAGGTTCAAGGATATGGAGAGACAGCATCAGTTGGAAATGGCAAGAAGATGTGACATTACAGTTGCCAGCAGTCCACATTCAAAGTGAATTTGGAGAGTTCTGTTCAGTCTCTACCATTCCTCCTCTGCCCAGTGCACACCTGAAGGCACTTCAGGGGGAGTTCTTTTGATATGACTAGCAAATTTTCTCCCTTTTTAAAAATACATTTTTATTGGTTTTTTAACATATCATTTCCAACAATCATTTAACATAACTACTTATCTTATACAATATTTTAGACTTCGGTCAACAACCTCTGATGATTTTCCGTTCTTTATCACCTATTCTGTATTTCTTAATTTCTCTATTACCTCGGGATAAGAACTTAATTCGTTCCAGAGGTCTGTTCTTCACCTGAAACTGTTCTTAACCTGAAGCACCACTTTAGCTAATGGGGCCTCCCGCTGCCACTGCGCTGGCGGAGCACGATTTCTGTTCTCATCCTGAAGCAAAGTTCTTAACCCGAGGTACTATTTCTGGGTTAGCGGAATCTGTAACCTGAAGCGTATGTAACCTGAAGCGTATGTAACCTCAGGTACCACTGTACTTTTAATTATCATTAACTAATAATTCTCCTCATAGTCTTTCTTGCAATGTTTCAAATAGTCCTCCTTACAGAACATCTTGCAGTCCTACAAGCATAATCTTTTCATTACAACTGCTTTTCAAATAGTTCATATATTTACTCCAATCTGGTCCTGCAGGTTTCAAATCCTTCCTGTTAATTTATCTAATTCTGCATAGTCCATTAATTTCATCCGCCATTCTTCTTTCGTCGGTAGACTAGCAGATTTTGTCAAAGGTATGTGTGTCACAAGGCAACCAGGTGTCAGGCAGCAGAGGAACCAACCCCCACGGCAGGTTGCCAGGAATGGACAAGACAAGGGAAAGTCCTTACTGTCGGAACCTGCGCTTGGCCAAGCTGATAAAGCTCATCCTCCTCTGGCTGAGTCCTCCAGAATTGCCTACACTGTGATTGACAACCTGTGCCTGGATAAGGCTCCAGGCACATCCCCCATTCAGCAGAGAACCAAAGCAGCACGCAGAAGTGATGAGATTTATGTCTACATCGCTATGCTTTATTTCTTACTACACAGACAGAAAATACATCCTCTCTCTGTGAGAGCAGAGAGCAACTGAAACAAACAAAGGAACAGGAAACCAGTACGTCACATCCGTCTCCCGTCTCCCGTGAGACTTCCAACAGCCTGGAATGTCTCTGGAATGTAAACAGAGACTTGTGACTCTCAGCAGCTGCACAGTGGCAAACAGAAACTACCACTTACCATCTGCTTTTATTCAATATTCACAGAGAGAGGCTAGGGAATGTGGCCTCTCAGAATAAAGGTATTGCTCCAAGTGAGTCTCCACCTCCTCCCTCCCTTCCATTATACATCATCACTATGGGTGCTGAGATGTGTCCTTTGCCTCTGAGATCTCTGCTCTCCTACTTTCAATGCTCACCGGGTTCTGGGAGAGGGGGGAATCTGAAATGCTTTCTAAAGACAATGAATCCATCAGCTGTCCCCTCTCTTCTTCTTCCTTCTCTCCCATTATTTCCCATCTTTCCCCCTCATCTGCCTCTGAGCTGTGATCTCCCTCAAACCCCTGCTCTAATTCTGAACTGTCTTCTTCTTCTCTGGAAGGGTCAGGCTGGGGAGGAGGTCTTCCCCTTCCTCCTCTGCCCAGTCCCTGACACCAGGCCCCCATCTCACCCAACCACAGCAGCTGGGGCATCTCCATGCAATGCATTCCTACATGAATCAGTGAGTACTGGAATTATGTAGGCTGGACCAATCAAGGAGGTAATGACCAGGTGGAAAAGACCTACACAAGTGACCCTACCCACGTGGTGCTGGTGTTCTTGCACATAGGACAGCTGTATGGGATGGCACCACAAAGAAAAAGCTGCTACTAGTGGGGGCTGGTGCTCCCTAGAGCTACTAAGAGATTATGGAGACGTGGTCAAGTTTCAGTTTTCTTCCCACCCTCCTCCCTTGCAAAGATATTGGGGAGACTTAATAAGCACTGTTGTTTTGCAGTTACAGTGGTACCTCAGCTTACAGACGCTTCAGGTTACAGACTCCGCTAACCCAGAAATAGTACCTCGGGTTAAGAACTTTACTTCAGGATGGGAACAGAAATCGTGTGGCGGCGGGCCAGCAGCAGCGGGAGGCCCCATTAGCTAAAGTGGTGATTCAGGTTAAGAGCAGTTTCAGGTTAAGAACGGACCTCCAGAACGAATTAATTTCTTAACCAGAGGTACCACTGTACGTGCCAACCCCCCCCAATATGCATTGTCAGGCTGAGCCCCCGGCCCAATCTTGAGGGACTAGGCCCTGCTGGGCCTCCCTGCAGCAGCAGAAGACCCTGCCAGACTTACCTGTGGTGGCTGAGGGCCTCCCCAGGCCTCACAGCGTCTTCCCAACTTGTGTGATGTCCCACATGCAACATCACACGCATGTGACAAGCCCGCCCCCATGTTGTGTGGAACCTGGTGCCTCTGATTGGCACCTAATAAAACTGGGGAAAGTGTTCCTTCAGAAGGGGTTGGCTGCTGTCACATTTTCTAGCCTGGGTTCATGTCACAATAAACATTGGCTCGTCTTAAAGCCAAGCTCCTATACAGTGGTACCTCGGGTTAAGAACTTAATTCATTCCGGAGGTCGGTTCTTAATCTGAAACTGTTCTTAACCTGAGGTACCACTTCACCTAATGGGGTCTCCCGCCGCAACCGCACAATTTCTGTTCTCATCCTGAAGCAAAGTTCTTAACCCGAGGTACTATCTCTGGGTTAATGGAGTCTGTAACCTGAAGCATCTGTAACCTAAAGCGTCTGTAACCTGAGGTACCACTGTATTAAGGTTGCAATCTTTATGCTGTAGTAGGCCTTACTTCTGAGTAGATGTGGTTAGGATTGCACTTTCAGCCAACCTGCTTCTGCTTATGGGAAAGGCTTTTACTAAAAAATATGAAGGAATAAGTTAGCTGGTTTATTGGTAGTGAATATAAAGAGTTTTATATTGACTGCTCAAAGCAATAGAACCATTTGTCATTCAACTATTGCACTTCTGCCCATGGAGGTTTCTAAGTGAAGGACTTGTATATATTTGCCAGAAGACATAATCCAGATACCCAGAAAATATAAACTTCTCTATTAGGCACTCTTTAGTCTCCTGTTCTGCTTTTTCTTCATCAGTCATTTAGCAACAGGTAATTTTGGAGGTCAGCTTTCTCTTCCAAACTCATATGTAATAACCAGAAAATTTGCCAGTGGGCAAAGCCAGCCTGTGAGACATAACAAATGTCACCCAATCCTAGCCCAGAGCAAAGCAAAATGATTTTAAAAGCATACAGAAGATCAAGACTATTTGATAAAAGATACTTTTTTTTTTTTTAAAGGTCAATCTCAAACGTTTACACAAGAACCAAAAGGCAGGTTTAAACTTTCACACTGGGAAGGTTTCAAGGTCCCCTTTCCCCCTGCTTTCTGGAGTTGTGGAAACGAGCAGCGTTTCGATTCCTTATAAGACAAAGAGATAACCCCCCTCCACTTTTTGTAATCGTAATGTTTGCATAGGGGGTGGTGGTGGAGATCCCTTCTGGTCATAGCTGTCAACTTACAGGTTTGAAAATAAGGGACCAGCAGCCTCGAAAATAAGGGATCAGCAGCCAAAATAAGGGATTTTCAGAGCACAGGGAGGTTCAACTTCTGAGCCCCTCCGAGCCAAAGGCAGGAAGCCCAGCCAGCAGCCAAATGAAGCCTCAAGCGATGGTTCCCACAGCGCAGTAACCCGGCAAAGGGGATGCAGCAAGGAAAACCACCGTCACCTCCGCTGGGAAGCGCTGAGCAAAGGCGAGTTCCCAGGCAACGCGGCCGATTTGATCGGCACAAGGCATGCAAGCTCCACCCCCCAGTCGTTCTCAAACTCCTTATTGGGTGAGCAACGCAGCCAAGCAACACAGTTGGAGCTGGCAGGGAGGGAGGGAGAGGAGCTGCTTCCTTTGAAACCTGGGAAATTTAAGGGACATCATCAATAAGGGACAGCAGCAGGACACAGTGCTGGGATAAGGGACTTTCCTGCCAAATAAGGGACGGTTGACAGCTATGCTTCTGGTGTTCCTAACCTATTACTCAGCTGGATGAAGGCATGCATTGCCTCTTGCCAGAGGTTGATGGAGAACAGGATGAGGGTTCAAGTCCCAGTCATCTTCAAACAGGTGGAAGACATGTGCTTCTCCCCAATGAGCGCTTGCCTTGGCGTGGGGTTTTTTTTGGGGGGTGGGGTTGGCCTCCTATCCTTCACATATTTTGCCTTGCCTAGATGCGAAAGCTGAGGCTCCAAGACTTTGGCCACCTCATGAGAAGGGAAGACTCCCTGGAAAAGACCCTGATGTTGGGAAAGATGGAGGGCACAAGGAGAAGGGGACGGCAGAGGGCGAGATGGTTGGACAGTGTTCTCGAAGCTACCAGCATGAGTTTGACCAAACTGCGGGAGGCAGTGGAAGACAGGAGTGCCTGGCGTGCTCTGGTCCATGGGGTCACGAAGAGTCGGACAGGACTAAACGACTAAACACAACAAGATGCGAAAATAATTGCCTGCCGATTAGGGGAGGTGAACCTTTAGCCCTCCAGATGTTGGTAAACTACAGCTCCCATTCAGAGTATGAACCAGGGATGCTGGGAGTTGCAGTCTTGGGGACAATGTTCTTTTTAACTGAGGGAGCAGGGGAAATAGAAGTGTGATGGTATGATCAAATGGGACAGTCTCAATTACCCATGATAAGAATGACTGCTCCCCACATCAAATGGGGGGTGCCTTTTGTGCGGTCGTGCGCAGCCCCCCCCCGATCCCTTGTGGTTTCTGGTAGTACAGCCTGGATTTGCCCCTCCCCACCAGCTGGACACGTGGAGGTAGCCACCTACCTCTTCCAGTCACCCAATCCCAGCTGGGGAGGCGTTGCCAGGAGAGCGTTGGCCAGGTAAGGGGAGGGATCGCCCTGACCACACAATAGTGGGTGGAACTTACCTGGGAGTTCTCAGTCGGATTCAGAGCTTCTCCCACCCTCCCATCCCTCAGTTAAGTCTTCTTTTGCAGGTTAACCTCTTCTCCACAGGTACGCGGGCGCTGCTACGTTATGGTCGCTGTTGAAGGGCCAAAAAGGAATTTTCCTGCATTGGCAGGTTTTGCCTTCCCCGTAGCAAAACGTCACAACTTTGGCGGTTTGTAGGCCTTGGGCGGAATCCTTTAGTCTAGCTTTCCTAAATGGGGGGGGGGGTGAAGCGGTGACCCACACTCCCCCCCCCCGCAGCGGTGATCCCAGGGTTCCCTGTTAAAGGGGTTGTTTTGAGGAGAGGCATTGGCCATAGGCCGAGAGGTTGTCATTGCTCTCGCCTGCGATGATGGCGAAATGGGGACAGGCTCTCTGCTTGAACAGACGTTCTCCAGAGCCAGCCCAATCCCCACACATTCTGGATAACCCCTTAAAAAAAATATTAACAATTTCAACATAACAAAATATCAAAACAAATCATCTTCACTATTTTTCCCCTTCCCCCCACCTCCCCAATGAACCCTCCCCCCCAAGACTTCCCTCAGCTCCTCTCTCTGATTTCTCAACTCATATTGTTCTCTGCATACTGTAAAATTGTATAAATCCTTATATTATCTATCTACTGCAGTAACCATCAATAAATTTGTGTATGTTTATTCAAAACCTGCCAAGGAGTCCAGTTCATTTTGTTGTCTTTTTAGGTAATTTGTAAAAAGCTCCCATTCTTCTCTGAAGTCACAGTTATCCTTATCTCGCAATTTGTATGTCAATTTAACCAGTTCTGAATACTTCATCAATTTCTCTTGCCACTGTTCTTTGGTTGGGGTTTCCTCATTCCTCCATCCTTGTGCCATCAAGATTCTTGCCTTTCCTTCTGGATAACCCTGATGTTCCCCAGATCCCCATCCGAGGACGGGGAGGGATAAACGCCCAATGCCTAACCCAAGCTCTCCCTACATCTGAAGCTTTAATACAGTTGTGGCCAAATTTCAATCCCATAACATGTTGTCCTGAGTCATTATTCCACTTGGGTGTTGCTCGGGGTTGGGTTGGGGGGTCTCCGCCTGTCCACGCAATCATGATCTCTCTGGGATCATGCAGGAGCAGGGGGCGTATGCGCATGAGCACAAATCACACGCACGAGGAGCACTGTCTCTTCTCTGTAAGTGTCCTACAGATTCCACTGCTTCCACCCTAACTACCATGAAACTTGCTGACAGGCTCTTATGAATGACACATGTTTGATATTATCCAGGGACTGAGCTTATTGGGCAGCTGAGAAGATGGCAGCAACCAAAAGATTTATATTACCTTCCTAATATAGCTGTCGTTATCTGAGTGTGCCCCTATCTTTCAGTGAGCAGAAAGAATACTGTCAGATCCTTACAGATGTCAGTGAGGCCAATAAATTGTGTCTGTGCATGACTTCTTAATGCACCAACAGTCCCCATAGATAACCAACAGGCTTGGGAAAATGCCACATTGTGCATTTTACAGTATGAGGTCATTCCTCTGCGACAACCCTGGAATGCTTGTGTGTGTGTGTGTGTGTGTGTGTGTATGTGATGTATATATATATATAGAGAGAGAGAGAGAGAGAGAGAGAGAGAGAATGTGAATCAGTTTCATCTATGGGTTGTACGAGAGAAGCCATTTTGGCAGCAGGTAAGTTAATAAACAATAGCGAATACTAATAATGAGTTGCTGGGGAAATAAACGAAGCTGTTCTTGCACAGGAAAATAAATGCACTCCTTTAGCATGAACATTGCTCAGGGTTTTGCTACTTTATCATATGATGATGATGATGATAATGCAAATGATCCTTTTATCATATGTGGTGGACGTGTGCTAAGGTTAAGGACTTCTGGGAAAAGATTTATAATGAGTTGAAAAAAATGTTGAAATATACATTTGTAAAGAAACCAGAAGCCTTTTTACTTGGAATATTAGGACTGGAATTGCCCCCAAAAGATGATAGATTATTTTTGTATGCCACTAAAAATTAGAAATCTCAAGAAATACCAATGGTAGAAGAATGGCAGATGGAGATGTTGGAGTTTTCGGAGCTGGCTGACCTGACTGGAAGAATCCGCAATCAGAAAGAATACCAAGAAGATTGGAAGAAACTTAAAGATTATTTAGTCAAATATTGTAATATAAGATAATTAGAAGGTACAGTGGTACCTCAGGTTACATACGCTTCAGGTTACATATGCTTCAGGTTACAGACTCTGCTAACCCAGAAATAGTACCTCAGGTTAAGAACTTTGCTTCAGGATGAAAACAGAAATCGTGCAGCGGCGGCGCAGCGGCAGCAGGTGGCCCCATTAGCTAAAGTGGTGCTTCAGGTTAAGAACAGACCTCCGGAACGAATTAAGTACTTAACCCGAGGTACCACTGTACTTGAAAGTATCAAACAGGCCTGGGATTAGAATAAGAATGTTGTATAGTTAATATGGATTTAAGCCAATAAGAAAAGAGATGAAGATAGTAAATTGAAGGAGATAACTGCAATTGAAAGTTGATTTTGGAGAACTGTTACAAGGGGATACAATGAAACTCAGGGGGGAAATGATGAAGTCAGTATACAAAGGACTTTAAAATGTATATTAGAAGGAATAGGTGTTTACATTTTTGTTTTTTCTTTCTTTCTTTTAGTATTGTAATGTGTTTTCTTTTGTATGTTCTATATGTTATATTTGTTAAAATCAATAAAAAAGATAATGCAAATGATAGCAAGGGGGAAAGTCGTAGCTTAGTTGTAGAGCAAATTGGGTTGGATGCATTCTGGGAAATGATATAAAATAAGATGAAAAAAATATGTTTATATTAACTTTTGTAATTAACTTTTCCTGTCCCTCCTTCCTTTTCTTTGTTAGATTGGCAATGCAATTATAATGCTATTCTTATATCAGCCATGACATGGCTTCATTCCATCCTGGCAGGGCCAATCACAGCTTTCTTAAAGGTACAGGTGCCATTTCATATGCACAAAAGGATCTTGGTTCTACCACCCATACTTTCCTATTAAGAAAAGTAGCCTGACAGGTAGAGGCAATCTAGCCAATTGAAAGTGCTTTATGGACATCACCTTGCCAATAAAGGTCCGTATAGTTAAAGCTATGGTTTTCCCAGTAGTGATGTATGGAAGTGAGAGCTGGACCATAAAGAAGGCTGATCGCCGAAGAATTGATGCTTTTGAATTCTGGTGCTGGAGGAGACTCTTGAGAGTCCCATGGACTGCAAGAAGATCAAACCTATCCATTCTTAAGGAAAGCAGCCCTGAGTGCTCACTGGAAGGACAGATCGTGACGCTGAGGCCCCAATACTTTGGCCACCTCATGAGAAGAGAAGACTCCCTGGAAAAGACCCTGATGTTGGGAAAGATGGAGGGCACAAGGAGAAGGGGACGACAGAGGACGAGATGGTGGGACAGTGTTCTCGAAGCTACCAGCATGAGTTTGACCAAACTGTGGGAGGCAGTGGAAGACAGAAGTGCCTGGCGTGCTCTGGTCCATGGGGTCATGAAGAGTCGGACACGACTAAACGACTAAACAACAACAAATGGCTCAGGACCTCAGTATCTTCTGGAATGCCTTGTCTGATAAGAACCAACCTGGACCCTTCATATGAGGCCCTTCTCTAGGTCCCTTCTCTGAGGGAGTCTCAGATGGTGATGACAATGGAGAGGGACTTTCCGGTGCTGGCTCCCCATCTGTTGAATGCTCCCCACGGTGAGGTCCACTTGGTGCCTTTGCTGATGTCTTTTTGGCACCAGGCTAAGACTTACATTTCCCCGCAGGACTTTGATGGACCAAAGTGATTCTGCACTGCCAAAGCATCTTACGGTAGTTATGCATGTTAATATCAACAATAAATGTGGACCCATCACTGCCCAGAGAGATATTTTGAAAGACAGTACTGGTGGTGGCTTTAGGTTTTTGGTTCCAGAGACCCTGCAGTTCTCAACAACCACAAAACCATCAGCTCATCTGACTTTTGAGCTATTTGCCCTCCAGGAAGGCTCTGCATTTATGAACATGCTTTCGTTGGGAAATAAAATCTAAGATCTTGACATTTGTTGAACAGGGTCAGCTGTAATTAATAGCACAAGAACAGAGTATTAGATTAAGATCCCATATTTACCAAAACTTCAGATTCCAACAGTTTTCCGATTGGCTGCATTGTAATTTTAGGGGAAAGCTTTGCACTGTCTATTTCAGCTCAGTGAAGTAGACTGTTCAAGCAGGCATTATGGGATGGGGATTCTGCCAGAGCTTTAATTAATCGCAAAGCCTCCATAGGGTGGGTGGGTGGGGGGAGAAATCCCAATTTTGCTCCATGAAACTGAGGCCAGCATTTACCATGAAAGACACAATAAAGTTTCTTAAGAACTCGGGTTTTTTTCCTAAATAAATAAATAAATAAATAAATAAATAAAATCAAGGATATTCAGATCACAGAGGCCCCTGTAGTTCAACTATAAATATAATATGGGCAATGACTTCTCCCTTGTAATTTGAAAAGGCTTTAGAAGTCTCCCATGACATTCATATAAACTGCATTTTCCACTTTTTGGTGTGCCGGTTAACACATGGGTGCTTGTACACACACACATACACACCCTTAAAGTACATTGGTCAAAGTGTTGAAGTTGTGTTGATTTATAACAGGCTTCCTCAAACTCGGCCCTCCAGATGTTTTGAGACTACATTTCCCACCATCCCTGACCACTGGTCCTGCTAGCTAGGGATCATGGGAATTGTAGGCCAAAAACATCTGGAGGGCCAAGTCTGAGGAAGCCTGATTTATAATATAAAGGTAAAGGGACCCCTGACCATTAGGTCCAGTCATGACCGACTCTGGGGTTGCAACGCTCATCTCGCTTTACTGGCCGAGGGAGCCGGCGTGCAGCTTCCGGGTCATGTGGCCAGCATGACTAAGCCGCTTCTGCCGAACCAGAGCAGCGCACGGAAACGCCGTTTACCTTCCCGCTGGAGCGGTACCTATTTATCTACTTGCATTTTGACGTGCTTTCGAACTGCTAGGTTGGCAGGAGCAGGGACCGAGCAACGGGAGCTCACCCCGTCGTGGGGATTCGAACCGCCAACCTTCTGATCAGCAAGTCCTAGGCTCTGTTGTTTAACCCACAGTGCAAACCGCATCCCTTTTGATTTATAATATACACCTCCCTTAATTGCATTCAACTGCACAGTGAGGGAATTCTATTTGTGTGAGGCTGGGCAGAAAAGAGAACAAGCCAAGATGGCACCTGTGAGTGGCTGGACTGAGGAGAAATAGTGGGGGCCGCTCCTCCCTTCTCTTGAACCTTCCCGAGAACAGGAGGACAGTATAGATTTAGAACAGTGGTTTGCAGAAGGGCACAGTTCAGAGGCTGCAGAGGGGAGAAGCTGGGAGATATTGGAAGAGGAGCAGTGCCAGATTTACATATAAGCTAAACAAGCTATAGCTTAGGGCCCCACTCTCTTGGAGCCCTCCCCAAAAGATTAAAGGAAAAAAACCTGGATCTACATTTCCAAAATATAAGATAAAAAAAACAAATAAAATAAAACCTACGTACAGCAACAGTGTTTTGTGGTGGCTACTATGCTCTAAGTAATGGGCCCCATCATTTTAAGTTAGAGCTGAGCAGAGCCTGGCAGTCGCTCTTGCTGGCTTTTCCGGGAAGTGGGGGAAGGGACTGACGGGCTGCCCTCTGTCCCTTCCCCCACCTCCCGGAAAAGCCCCACTCCAAAACGTTCGGAAACCAAGACGTGGATTCCCATTGGCTGAGGGAAGCTCCTGCAGCCAATCAGAAGATTCGGAAGCTGTGTTGGATGTTCGGGTTCCAAAGAATGTTCACAAACTAGAACACTTACTTCCGGGTTTGCGGCATTCAGGAGCCAAAACGTTTGACTCGCAAGGCATTGGTGAATCAAGGTACGACTGTATATAAAAACATAATAAACATTAAAATACCTCTCTGAACAAGGCTTCCTTCAGATATTTTCTAAAGGTTGTACAGTTACTTATCTCCTTGGCTTGGGGGGGTCACATTAATTTCATACCCTCCAACATTTCTCCAATGAACATAGGGACATTCTAAGGGAAACTAAACCACAGAGCCTAGGACTTGCCAATCAGAAGGTTGGCGGTTCGAATCCCCGCGATAGGTGAGCTCCCGTTGCTCAGTCCGGGCTCCTGCCAACCTAGCAGTTCGAAAGCACACCAGTGCAAGTAGACAAATAGGTACCGCTCTGGTGGGAAGGTAAACGGCGTTTCCGTGCGCTGCTCTGGTTCGCCAGAAGCGGCTTAGTCATGCTGGCCACATGACCCGGAAGCTGTATGCCGGCTCCCTCGGCCAATAAAGCAAGATGAGCGCCGCAACCCCAGAGTCGGTCACGACTGGACCTAAATGTCAGGGGTCTCTTTACCTTTATGGGAAACCAGAACATTCTGGGATCAAATCAGAAACCAGGATGGATTTGTAAATCTGGGACTGTCCCTGGAAAATAGGGACACTTGGAGCGGCTGTAACTGTTGCAGTGGAAAAAGTAGAAAACTTTTTAAAAATGGGGAGGAGTTGTGCTACCGACAGCCACAGGCCCCACCCATGAGAAACTGTTGCATAAATTCGCCAACCTGCCCTGCGCACCATTTCTTTGCTGGCAGATGGAGAATTTTGAGAAAGCCCATTTACGAATGAAGTCACGCACACGGGCAAGTGACTCACAGCCACAAAGTGGCAAAAAAGCCCCCCTTTTTTCACTTATGGTCCATTGTTCCTATCCTTTTCAACGGATGGCATTCCCTCTGTTTATTTTTTCCGCTCTGTGCGTTTTCGCCTGCCCTCCCACCCACCCCCCATGTTAAAAGAGTTCCTCATTTTCTTTAATGAAATGTTCCACTGCAGGGAGAAATTACCCTTATCGCCAAAGTACTTTAGAGACCACACACGCAGAGAGAGAGAGAGAGAGAGAGAGAGAGAGAGAGAGAGAGAGTTACAGCAGTTCAGAGGGGACCTGGCTGGTGACCGACTTGTGAGGAGCGGCAGAAAAATAAAAATAAATAATTAAAATGTTAAAAAGTCTTCCGAACATCCCCCCAGCTGTATTGCTGGCCTTAAAGGATGAAATGTTATACATCTGCTTAAGATTAGATTTCTTTTTCATACAAGATGCCACATGAAGAAGTTCTTAAGCTAGGATACACAGGAACCAAAATCTAAGAGGAAATGCTCCAATCTAATCAGAGAGAAATATTTGAGTGGCTTTGCTTTCGACTTGACATCAGGCTTCCCGTGCCAAGGAATCTGCCACATGTACCTTCTTTCTCCCCTCAGCAAGCCTCAGACTGTATTTTTTATTTTAAAAAAGCAAATTAAAAGAGACTCCGCAAAAAAACTAATCATTATGTAAGGATTTGACCTCAACTGGCTACTTTATAACTATCACTTTGCCCCTTCTCTAAAATTATCGTTTTGGAAAACGCTTCATGCTTTCATATTTCAGCCACTCTCGGGGGGGAAACTAGGGCGACGCATGAAGACACACTGATCAGAACGTTTGCAAATGAGAACCTACCTTTTGGGAGCATGCATGCGCCAGGACACTTTGGGCACTGGCTGACGCATGCTTAAGACAAGCTGAGGGTTGCTGCTTCAGATCTGCAGGGGGAAAAGGGGCAGAGAGATGCAAGATCTGCATGACATTTCAAAGGCCGCCTCTGGAATGTGTTCAAGACCGAGACTGTGTTCACCCCCCCCGAGGGACGCAGGTGGTGCTGTGGTCTAAACCACTGAGCCTCTTGGGCTTGCTGATTGGAAGGTCGGCGGTTCAAATCCCCGCGACAGGGTGAGGTCCCGTTGCTCTGTCCCAGCTCCTGCCAACCTAACAGTTCGAAAGCACACCAGTGCAAGTAGATAAATAGGTACTGATGTGGCAGGAAGGTAAATGGCATTTCCAGGCTCTCTGATTTCCGTCACAGTGTCCCGTTGCTCCAGAAGTGGTTGAGTCATGCTGGCCACATGACCCAGAAAACTGTCTGTGGACAAATGCTGGTTCCCTCGGCCTGAAAGTGAGATGATCACCACACCCCATAGTCGCCTTTGAGTGGACTTAACCACCCAGGGATCCTTTACCTACCTTTACCTCACAAACCCCATTTCCTGGGCACTCACTGCTGGCTTTTAAATCCATTTTGAACAATAAGTCACCCAATTCTCCAGGAGCAGTGCGAGATCTCAGGGGTTCTAGGTACTTACCCAGGGTTTGTGATTCCTTTTGGGAATAAGGCACAGCAGAGACTGTGATGCCTTTAGGATATGTGGTTTCATTGACATATATACAACCTGCCCCTAGATGGAGGGATTGTTGGCAGAGCAGCTAAGTTGCAGCTGGGAAACCAACATCATGTGCCACACTAACTCTTTCCTTGAAATTAAAACCATGTCCAAACACTTCTTAAAATATCCAAAAGCTTTTACAGTGGTACCTTGGTTCTCAAACGGCTTAGCTGTCGAACAAATCGGCTCCCAAACGCCACAAACCCAGAAGTGAGTGTTCCGGTTTGTGAACGTTTTTTCGGAAGCCGAATGTCCGATGTGGCTTCCGTTTGAGTGCAGGAAGCTCCTGCAGCCAATCGGAAGCCGGCCTTGGTTTTCAAACCGTTTCTGGAGTCAACCAATTCCTGGAATGGATTAAGTTCGAGAATCAAGGTACCACTGTACTTGCAGAACATATAGCTAAAGAAGAATATATGCAAGCATTTATTCAAGCATGGACTTATTTTGTTCTTAGTTGAAGATTACAGCTTCTTCCTTAAATATTCAAGCAAACTGTGTCTTTCTCTCTTTCCAGGACTGGCACTTAGCCTTCTGCCCATGACCCAGCCAGGCCATGAAGTTCCTTCTGAGAGGTTCCCACTTTCTCCTTCCAGAAGACTTCTCCTTACTGCTTCTTTGGGAGAACATCAACTTCTGTACTTCTTTTTGTCACATACATTCACACAGAAACATTAGCCCTCCTCTCCTCTATTGCGTTTGGAGAGTTATCTAACCCTGTCTCTTCTTCCGTCTTCATGGAAATGCAGCCATTACGGTCAAGTCACTCACCCACAAAACAAAATGGAGAATGTAATAAGATGCCTCCCATGTGAGCAGAGTTAACCAATCACATGAGAGTTACTGGGGAACATTCCAGTAATGCATTTAAGTGTTCCCAATTTCAGTAAATTACATCACTATACTCAGTGCTTTTTTTCTGGGGGGGACGCAGGGGTACATATACCCCTAAACATTTTGTGGCTCTAACGAGAGAAGAAACCATTTTTTAAAAATAGCACGGTGAATCCCTAGCACGGTGAATCATCAGTTCTGTTGCTACCCCCGATGAAGGCCTCATTTCCTGTCACGGTGTTTCCCAAGTCTCAGATGGAAGAGAGCGTTTAATGTGTGAAGTAGGAGTTGGAATCTAGCATCGTTCTGCCCGGACACTGAGGTCCAGTGCCGAGGGCCTTCTGGCGGTTCCCTCGCTGCGAGAAGCCAAGTTACAGGGAACCAGGCACAGGGCCTTCTCGGTAGTGGCACCCACCCTGTGGAAAGCCCTCCCACCAGATGTCAAAGAGAAAAACAACTACCAGACTTTTAGAAGACATCTGAAGGCAGCCCTGTTTAGGGAAGCTTTTAACGTTTAATAGGTTATTGTATTTTAGTGTTTTGTTGGAAGCTGCCCAGAGTGGCTGGGGAAACCCAGCCAGAAGGGGGGGGGTATAAATAATAAATTATTATTATTATTATAGCATGACCATTGGTCAGTTTTGTTGTTGTCACCTCCGATGGCGCCTTCATTTCCTTTCGCGGTGATTTTCTTGAGTCAAAATGAGAGTACCCCTAAACATTTGTTTTGGGGGGAAAAGCACTGACTATACTTAACAGGGATTGGAGAGCATTTGCATCTTAATTCCTCTCTAGCCAAGGTGTGAATGCATTTGCACAGGGTAAAGAGATCCTCACCCCATCGACACTCCCCAGTGTGAACACAAACGAAAACAAATCTGACAATTATGAAGCCATGCTGATGTGAACAGCTGGGGCAGGGGGAAGAGCTGTGAAATGCACCAGGGAGAAAGTGACTTCGCTGGGCTCTAAGGTGATAATGTGGACACACCTAAGTTACCAGATGTGGCCACTCAACCCAGCTATGCAGTGCAGGCACACAGGATGCCAACATCTGTGCTGGATGAGGAGATGTCTCTGAGGAGATGTCCCTGCAAACAGGTGATGGGCATGTGTGGTAGAGAAAATCTGGTAAGGTGCTAGAGTGGAGCTGGAAGACATTTTATTTTTTTTAAAAAAAGAACGTGTCTGTAGTTCGCCTCCCTCCCCGCCACCGCCCTGCTGACAAAAATATACAGTGGTACCTCAGGTCAAGTATTTAATTCATTCCGGAGGTCTGTACTTAACCTGAAACTGTTCTTAACCTGAAGCACCACTTTAGGTAATGGGGCCTCCTGCTGCCGTTGCGCCGCCACAGTATGATTTCTGTTCTCATCCTGTTCTCATTCTCATTTCTTAAAGTAATCACCCTGCCAGTGTATGATTTCTAACCATCAGAAATAAACGGATCCCAAATAGGTGTCAAGGGTCTACATGATTGTCCCTGTCTTATCGTGCTAACAGCACCGTGCAGGTAGAGGTATCGGAATAGCTGCTCAAAACCTTTAAGCGTGGGTTTCGCTGACGGTAAC